GGAATAAATTAAATTCAGTATTATTTCAATGCCAGGTGATTTTTGTAGTACTTAGTAAAACCTTTAACATTAGAGCTATGGTGGACCTTCACAGTAATCTGTTATTTTGGGGAACAAAGCCTATGCAGTTCCATATAAATACTTAATAAGGTAATAAATGTAGAGAAACAAAATCTGATACTGGATTTTTTTTTTAGATTCAGATTTTAAATGTATCTATTTTTCCTACTGTGTGCATACACTAGCAAATTCAGGAAGAAAATCGGTCAGAATATATGTAACAAGGTAACATGATAGATAGCCCTCCAAAACCCATGTGAATCTTTACAAAGCATCTGAACGCAGTAATGCAAGAGTTCTCTGAGGTGCTTAGGAGCACTTGAAACCCAGGCCTTATTTTTCAAGTGGTTTGTGCAGCCTGTGTCATGTTCCACTGGGAGAGTGTTTTTAACTGAGGAGAAGCTCTGCCTCTGGGTGGAGTGCTCACTCCTTCATGGCCTAATGTGCGTCCAGAGGAAATAATCCAGGGGCAACTTGGACAGCCGAGCAAGGCAGTTGGGCTCTGCATGCCTGCAGCTGCCCGTTGCAGGACTGTTCTGGGATTTAGCAACATTTTCCTGTCCTGATTAACTCTTCTTATTCTGGAGTTGGTTCGAGCTAGATTTGGCATGGATTTGCCATTCTGTGCTCAGACTCTGTTCTCTTCTATTCCAGGTTGGGATCACAATCATCCTGCTACCTGCTGGGTACAGAATGAAGACTGTGTATGTTAGAAAACTTGAGTGGGCTGTTGGGGACCTGGTTTGAATGCATTAGATATATATGAGACTAGATAACAGGAAATCATGCGGAAATCTCAGGCTTTTGGGGGTTCTTCTAGCACCTAGCAGAGGCAATATTGTGAAAGTACACAAATAAGATTATAAATTGCGATTTGAAGACGAGGGCCTACTTGCTGGAGTTTGCGAGAGGAAATAAATCCTAGCCTATGGTTTTCTTTTCTCCTCTCACCAGCGAGAAAAATGTGTAATGAATGTCTCATGTCTGAAACACTGGGCTGGATTCATCAAAGGGAGTTAGTAATTACCAAATTGAGAGAATCATGAAGCGCTTTTCTAAATTTGAAAGGCTCATCAAGAATAGATCAGGAGCAGGCAAAATTAATAGTTATGAACTCATTTCCATAGAAATGGACTTATTAGCAAGCATGCCAGCTGCCTAAAATTATAAGGTCTTTTCCTTGTGCTTGCAGGAAATAATCTTTTTTTATAAAAGTAATTTTGACTTTTTATTTTTTATTGCTTCTCTAAACTAGGGTTTGGCAAAATCCTTCTAAATCGAGAAAAGACTTCACTGGACAATAGAAATATTTAAATGAAAAGAGAAAAAGATGTGGAAAGGAGAAGTGATTTATAGTCCTTGGATTCCATCAGACTCTTCCCAATAGTGCAAACTTATTTAAGAGAAAAATGGAATAAGTCTTGAGAAAAAGCTGAAAAATCTTTATAGGATAAAATTTGGTTTAGCAGGATTTAGTGGCTGATAACAGCATGAGTTACAGTTGTCGTCTTCACTGCTAGTGGATTTTCCCACTGGTAGCGTTTTGTCTTCACCACGCAGTTGCAGATTGACAGTGACTACAAAGACCAATGTACTGGCCACCACTACAATTCAGACTAAAAGCTGAAGATTTGCTATGGCAAGGTGGAATGACTCCTTTTAAAAAGGGTTATAGTGCAATGCTGCATAACCAGGAGAGAAATTTAGATACAGGTATTACGATGTGGATTTATCAGCTAATGGAGCTGACATAAGTAAATGCTAACCTTTAAGGTCTCAATTATGGTTTAATTTATCTCTGGTTTTACTTTAGCAACCGCCATCAATTTCAGTGGAAAAAGGCAGTGGTCTCCCACACGGTATTATAGAGGATGGTTAATAATTCGCAAGAATTATGCATATAGTACCAATCTTCCCGCTAGGAAAGAAGGCCCTGTAGGATAAGAGATGCAGCAATCAGTAGGAAACACTAGTCTGAGCAAGAAAGAAATTAACTTTTCAGGTTTTATCATGAGTCCATTATAGTTGTAACCTGGGAAGAGCCTTAGAACAAAGAGGGTGGATTAGTCCATGGGGTACTCTGTGTCCCAGATACTGTAACACTTGGCATTGCTTGAAGGCTGGATCTTTGTCCTAAAGAGGAAAAAAGGGAGACCATAATTTCAGAGAAAATTCATTGACCTGCTGTTGTGAAGGTAACTGGAAACCTGCTGGTGAATAAAAGGAGTCCAGAATGTTGAATACTGGTTTGCTAAGTCTATATACTGAGTGAAGAAACTCTGTAAGTGAAAGGTGGTTAGATACAGGAAGACCATCTCTTTTAGCAAAAGCCCAAATGAAAAGTGGATCCTTCTTTAATCAACATTAATATGTGATGCTACATAATTTGCTTCTGAGACAAAGCAGAAAACATTTGACAAGCCATGTTGTTTTTCCAGGTGATGATAAGTATTTTCTTTGGAACCAGGACCTAGGAAGTCCTGGGAGACCTGTGAAGTCAGCTTTGCTTTAGTTCATACGTTAATATTAGTTAGATCTGAGGAAGGTTTATGTATGTGAGTTCCTGCTCTTTTCTAGATGCACAGACTCATTTTTAATCCAGCAGTGTATAACCATCTCTGCCTTTAAATGAAACTTATGTCTTTTATAGCTACACAGCTGTGCTAAGGATGCAGTGAAGGTCTTTGCATATTTACAGGCACAAGAGTCATTGTACTCCCTGGCAATGACTTCAGCTTGCTATATAGGCAAGACACACACATGCTTTTCTTAGGGAGATTTGAGTCCCAGTCTGTCTTAAAAATATAAAACCACTATTATGGTTATTTTTTGGATGTGTAAAAAGAAAAGCAGGAAAGGAATAATTGAAGGCATGATGGACCAAGCTCAAAGAAGTGCGAATCAGTGGGAACATGGAATGGATTTATCAGTGCAAACTAACCTGACATATTACTTAAGTGGTGACTCTGAAGCAAAACTCTCCATCAGTGGTTTTGTTCCGAATTTGAAACCACTTGTGGGTGTTTTTGTGAGTGGCAACTATTGACTTGAACAGATTGAACTTAAACTGCAGATCTGAACATACCTTGACAGGCCCAATATCTTGATGCATAGTTAGTGTAAAGCTCATCATTAAATTTTATTTCTCTGTTGTGAGCAAATTAATTTTATGTAATTCAGATAAAACAAACTGCCAGAAGTGGTACGCAGAAAACTATGAAGTTGAATACTCCATTGTGGTGCCCACAGTGGTCATGTTTTTGACACAAATTGTTTAATTACATAATAATATTTGTCTTAAAAGGTTTTTGCTGATCGTCTGATTGGTCACCCAAAAAATGCCTTAATAGCTTCTAGTTTTGCCTGGAGGTGGATATTATCTTCTGTCAGCATGGAAAATATTTATCCTCCAGGCATTGAAGCATATGTTTGTGTTGTTTGTTGTCAGAAAGAAAACATGAAAATCAATAATTCCTGTTCAGATTTTTTTCCTTTACAATGTGCCTTCAAAAACATATGGCAAAACCAAATTCTGCCTCTGTGCAGTTGGGAAGAGGAAAAAGATGTTTTAAGTCTCTTTTTTCATAGCAGCAGGCTAAAACTTTCTGTAAACGCAGCTCTTGGAGACACTACTTTAGGGTAATGGCACACAAATAGTCTACTGTGGGACAGGAGAGAAGGGTGAAATTCCAGAGGGCAGGTCATTGCTGAGGGGTGCCTGCATGCACAGGACGCATCCCTACATTGGGAACAAGCTATCTCATGCTCGTGGTAAGAGCACGTGCAAGTCCTTACAGAATGGCCTAGCATGCTGCAAATTCAGATTTTAACCTATTTTATGAGCATGTACCCTGAAACTTCAGTAATATTGATAACATTGGTTGTCTCTTCAATGGAATATGATTCAGCAATTGGGTCTGCAGTCAGGTTAGCTGCCTCTCCATCCCGCCTCTGTGTTTTGTAAGCTGCATCAGGTCTCCACACTGCAGGTGTCTGTCTGGGAAATTGGGGCAGGAACTGTATGCTGCTTTGTAAAGTACCTTAATTTTTGTGGAAGTAAAGTGCTGGATGAGCAAAGGTCTGTTTTCTAAACAGGTCCCTGCTGTGGATATGCTGAGTGCTGTTGGTTAAATCTTGGTGTCTGTTTTCTTCTCTTTAACGTGAAGAGAAGATCTGTCTTTCTAACCTGAGGATTAATTATTAATATTTACATAGTGTTGGACCAGAGGAGAGTGCTGAATGTTGTTGTTAACAAAAGAAGCAGAAGTAATTTTTAAATACAGTTCTGAATGCTGTGCATTTACATCATTTCTTTACCTTTAAACTTTTATTTCCAGATGAGAAATATATAACGATCTTCATATAATTACAAGTCTGCACCACTGACGAGAAGAATGTTTTCATGAATTGGAAATAAGGATAATCTACCCCCCATTTTTTCTCATGTATAATTTCTGCAAATCCATTTTTTCACTGAGATAAAGACCAGTTTGGTTTTGAAACACTTCCTCCCGCCTCGGAGCTCATTTCTGATACAACGTGAGGAATGGCCAAGTGTTCTGTTGTTTTGGAGCATCAGTATTTGCAGCAACAAAATTATAATAACACTATATTAAATAATTTAGCAGCATGTGTGCAATGCAGTTCCCAGGGTCTGGGGCTTATTCTATAAGTTCATTGTGATTATGGAGAATGAATGCCTGAGTATAATGGGAAAAATGCCTCCATTTCAGGAACCTAAAAGATACGGTGTCACCTTATCTATAAAGTATAGCTGTTGCCCAGTGTGTAGTTTGATTTAGTTTTCTGTTAGTGTCTTCAAGTCTGCATGTTGGATTCAATGGTAAATCTTCAAGTGAATAGAAAAGAGAAATAAAAATATATTTTGTTATTAACATTCTACTGATGTTGTGGACGATTTTGTGGTTTTTTTTTTCCAGAGCAAACATGTCCTCTTACGAGATCCTGCAGATGGACTTTGAGATTGACAACACTAGCAGCCTGGCAGGGGCCCAGCAAATTACCTGGCAGGTGGAATACCCTCGAGATGACTCCCTGAGTGAACTCGTGGTCTCCGAGATCTTTGTCAGCCGAACAATGTTTGTGGGAATTGTTCCTCTTGCGATGGTAAGAACTTGCTCCTGCTTCATTTTGCTAAATGTTTCCGTTGATTCTCGTTAGTATTCAAGGGAATGTGAGCCATTTTATTATGTGCTACTTCCTATGCACCTGCTGCAAGTGATTTAAATGCAAAAAATACATTTCAATAATATTTTATTTACCTGATATGCCATAATGGCTCCTTGGAAACTATTTGAGTCTTTTGTGAAAATCTTTACCGTTTGTGGATTATTGGCCTGGTACATGGTAATAGCTCCTTTGGAGCCATTGTCTTCTGGTGTATTAATGCGACTGCCATGTGTGTGCTCTAAGGGTAAATGTTGCAATTAGTTGGGACATTTTCAATGAAATAAATTAGCATGCATGCGTGGGAAACTTCATTGCTAAACCAAACAACTGGACTGTTTTCTGCTTTGCTTTTCTCCAAAGAGCCACACAGTCTAGTGAGCTGCAAAGTGTCAATTTAAGAAAAGGTCCATTTTGAGTTATAGAGAAAGGACAAAATACTTTCTGAAGATGTAGGTGTCGGTCATATTTTCCAGGCAGGGTTTAAGGTGTACGTGTGCAGAAAGCTTGAAGCTGATGGTTTATTTAAAAAATGCAAATATCTCCTTCTAAAATCAAACACATCTTTTCAAGGAGGGACCTTTGGGCTTGTTTGGACATGCTGAACTTTTAGTTCTAGAGCTTTAAGCTTACACATGACCAGTGACTGCAGTGGGAATATTCTGGTGTAGAACTACAGAAAGAGCCAGAGAGCCTGGATGTTACACCAGTTCCCTCAGAAACACTCTGGTAATTTTTGTTTACTTCTCATGAACATTTGCTTTTCCTTTCCAAGTCGGTCTGTGCTGGTTTTCTTTCTCTTACACCATATAACCAACAAATATGTGCTTTTTCCTTTGCATGACACTAGCTTCTCCTACTAGGACAGAAGCAAGGAAAGTTGCTTGTAAAGGTAAATAAGACCCTAAATAATTTTAATTTCCAGTTTCTACTGCCAAAGGCTACACTTACTGGCAGCCCAAGAACAAAGGAGAAATTATATGCAGAAAAGTCACTAGAGAATATTCTTCTAGTGCTTTTTTTCTGAAGCATGTAGGAGATGAAACAAAACTCTAATTGCATGGATGGAATATTATAAGTAGTAATGGTGAATCAGATAAACGAATGACAGAATGTGGTGCAGGAACAGTCTTGCACAGCATTGCTGGTTTCAAACGGAGAGGCACAGATATAAAAGAAAGCCATGCAGAGCACCACACACATAAAAGAAAAATGGATCCAACCCAAAAGCCCATTGTGAATCTTGGATCAGAGCTTTGCTGCTGTCTCTGCCAGGGTTTTGCCAGGGTTTCACTTCATCTCTTTGCAGTTATGGCAGATGTTGGCCACTTCAGCTGTCTCTAAATGTCCTTGGACCAGATCTGAGGCTGAACCTGAATTCAAAGTGGAGCTAATCTAATCTCTGACATTTTGTCATTGTAAACTACCTGTGGAGTAAAGGTAAAAGCTTCTTTTGTGAATTTGTGACCTTAGTCCATAAATAGGCATTTCATGTCGGCTATTGCTTTGCTGTTGCATGTAAGCATCCTTGACTGGCTTGGCCCAAGGCTGATAGGAGAATTGATGACAGCAATGGCAGGAACAACAGCTTGTATTTGCATTTCTTTCCCTTATGTTTGCCAGTTTGCAGTGCTGCTTCATTTAACAGTCACTAACTGATGCAGTTTCTGGCACTGCATTGCCCAGTCAGGAGCAAAAAATAATTGCTCTAAACATTGTTCTGTGTTCTTTCAGAGAAACATGTTCCTGAGGCCCAGAGTTCCTCATTGAGCTAAATGCATTTTAAAGTTCATTCCTCTTCAAGATTTGCCTAGTTTGTTGGTAAGGCAGGCTCCCTCTGAGTGTGGGAGGTATCTGTAAAGGAGAGTTTTGTCATTTTCTGGACCTTGGTCCCCCAGAAGAGCATCACAAGGAGGGTCCAGAAACCAGTGTGTTGCCATGCTGTTGCCATTCCACTGAACATAAATTACTTGCTGTTCCTTTTTAGTGTATCCACTCTTTCACTGTAAACATTAAATATTTATAGATGAAAACATGGAGTTCCTTGGAGACTTTAAGGTTTGAGCAAAACATTTAGTCCTTGATTTGCAGGAGTGAACGTTTTGATGGGATTACCAAATCCTCATGGTGGTTCAGTAGTAATGACACCAGCATCTGCATGAAGAAGTGCAGCTCAGTGTCATGAAGGGGAAAAACGTCTTCCCAGTAAGAAGACTGAGGTGGATTCAGTAAGAGCTTACTGCAGGAGAAATTAGCTGTGAAACCCTGCAAAACAAAAATGAACTTTAATGTGTTGATATTTCTGTAGGCCACTCTGGTTCTTTTAATATAAAGACAGCCTCTTCCATGTGGTTTGGAATATTGCTGTTTTGTTGCTGCACTTGGTCATGAGTTTATCTTTGTTTTCCATGCTACTTTCTTAAACAAACAGGAGAAAATTGAAAGAGGCCCCAGATAATTTATTCTGTCATTGCATTGTGGTGACTCTGGAGATAGCAGTGGGGATATCTTTCTCATTACTATCTTGCCTTTTTTTTTTTGTAGATAAAGATATGGTAGACTGCATGGTAACATTTGAATAAGAGCCTGATGAAAAGAGCTGATTTTTTGCTTTAGTGAGTTTATGAAGCCCTTAACATCAAATCTCATGTTCTTAACATTTACATTTGGTAGCAAGCTTGAAAGGCATTTTTTTTTGTTTTTTGCTTTTGGGTTTTTCAAAGCGAAGATACAGCTGATTTTTGCACATTATGTAGCAAAAAATAGCTCCTTATTAGCAGACAATTTTGCTGTAATGAATTGATATTACAGATTATTTCTGGCTAGTCCTTTGATATCGAATCAGCAGTGCATTAATAAGTACTGTTTTGAGATGCACAGAAGGAAACAGGGCCAGGGAGAGTCTACAGGTGAAATCCCGGCCAGGGTAGCACCCGTCAGCTGTGCTCCATGCCTGCTCCTAGCCTGCTCCTGAGCGTCCCAGTCTGCGTGCGTACAGCCAAAGTTGTATGGGAAAGCATACTTGGGGAATGTTTTAAGACGTGAAAGGACATAAGAGGGTAGACTGTATCTTTCTGCCTGTGCCCACCCCCCCAAAAAAAAGCCAAACAACCCCCCCCAGTTTTTGTTTAGTCCAAAAGTGGCTTTATTACCTCTTAGCAGGTGACTGGAGCACCAGTTCAAAATCAATTCAGAGTGCAAAGCGCTTATTGTCTCACTGGCACCGTTTCCAGCCTCGCGTACGATCTGATCCCAGATGGTATTGCTGTGTGCATTTTACACCATTTTAAAAACAGATTGTTTATTTTGTCTAGTGTTCAGTGTGACTTATGGTGAGATGATCAGACAGGATTCCAGGAATCACATACCTATCCTACCTAGCCTTTGTTATCTAAACTAACTGATCTCCCAAAGGGCTTATGCCAATAGCCCGCATTTTGTTCCTGGGAGGTTTTGTTTTGTAGATGAGGCTGGATTGGGAAATTCACCTCTTCTGAGCGTGAAAATTGGATATATGCATAATTGTCCTCTTGTAGAGCTGTAGAGGTATAAAAATACATGTATTGAGACAAAGTGTCAAAAGATACCCAGATATAAGTACATGGGGAAATATATGATTTTTAGTTACTTTTTTTCAGAGTGTTTTAGAAGTGTTCAGTGAAATTCTAAGTTCTTTGGACAACAGGCTGAGAAAACACAAAGGTCAAAACGTAGCAACCTCTGAAATCTTTCAGAGTGCTGCTGTTTGAGTCCTGGAGGCCATGCAGCTAGGTTCCCAGTAGGAGGGAAAGTGGATTTGAAAATGAATGAAAACCGTCTATGTGTGTATTCCTCTGTAAGTACAACTTTGCAAGTCATTCTAAATTAATTTTCTGTGAACTGTGGCACATAAAATACATGAAGATGGGCTGTCCTGTAACTGCTAGAGCATTTTCTGATAGCTAAAAGGGATTGGATGGGCCTGCTTCCATAGGGAAAATAAATAAATGCTAATTCCTAAAACTCCATGCAAATTAACAAATTATTTTTTCCCTAAGTACTCTATTATTATTTAGTATTTATGTAGTGGTTTATATTTTCAGAGCACTTTACAGACATTAATTAATCAGACCTGAATAAACCAACCTTGATGAGAACAGAAAATTAAATGGAAATTAAGTCACTCATATTCAGTTTTACCTGTTTCTGAATGATTTGTAAGTCATACTTTCATACTCCTAAAGGTACTTTTTAAAACACTTTAAATAAAATCTTATAATACTATTGCTTATTATCTCTAAAAACTGTTTTGGTTAGAAAAGAGGCAGGATTTATACCGCCAAGAACTAATGACAGCACAGATGAGTGGCTTTGGAGAATATAAATGCTGTTTTATCACCTAAAGCTGAGCATAACTATTTAAGCCGATTTAATTCAGGTAAAAATGCATGGATGGGAGGATTAGTCCCTTAATTTGAAGTCTATTTAGAAGCCAGAATATTTGACTCATGGAGTTTTCTTTGGAGGAGAATGGAAGGAATATTTAGTTTTATCTAAGTATTTGCCATAAGCGTTCAAGATAAAAAAACTGATGAGAAATTTTACCTACAGAAAATGAATGACACTGAACACCGTACTGAGGTGGCTAATTTGGGGATGGCATGCAGGCTTCGAGCTTGAGCATTACTGCACTGTCCTCTTGCAAGATACAAACATGTTTCTAAATACTTTTGAGGATCTGGCCCTGGCTGTTCAGTTTAACGTTCCATGATGCACTGTCAGGTGAAAATGTCAGCTGCTTTGCTCCTAGGAGGCTTCTCTTGTTTTCTTTTTAACAATAAGTGTCTCTGATAATTGATTCTTCCAACATCTGGTGTAGAGATTAACATGTGGAACTAATGTCCCAAAAAGTAGAAAGGTGATCCATTGTCATCGTGTTGAGTAGAATACCAGATCAAGGT